CACTGGGGGAGGACACAGGTCAGATACACTGGGGAGGGGAAGGATAGGGTGGTTGGGCAAGGAAAGGTTAGGGCTTAGGTGTGCTGGGGCATGGGGAGAGGCATTAGATCTCGAATTACAGGACCTATAACCAACCCACCCCCCTCTCCCAGGCAGCTCCCCTCGCATTTAGCTCACTCTATGTGGGGCACTTGGTCAACCTTGATGCTATTGCTATCATTCATTCATTCACTTAACAAACTTGTACTGATTGTCTACTTTGTGCTGGCACCATGCTGTGCTTTGGACACAGAAGGAACAAGACAAAGTCTGGGCATCATGAGGTTGACGGTCCAGTGGGGAGGAGGGAATGAGAAACCAAAAAAAACATTTAATATCGGGTCAGACAGTGGCACTTGCAACACAAAGGCAGTACAAAATAGGAAGTGACGCCAAGAAGTGTGTTACTTCAGATACAATGGTGTAGGTTGGGGGCTCTCCAAAGAGGGGAAGACCAGCAGGCTGCACGAGCACTGGGAAGCTGAGCGCCCTCAGAGAACATGTCCAGGCCCAAAGCGGAGCTGGCTTCCTTGATGCTGAGAACGGCCAGAATTGGGTTTGTTGACAATAATAAAAACGGTGACCAGCTACAACTACAGGCTCTCCGTATACCCTCTTTTATTATAGTTGTAACTTTACATTGCAAACATTAAATGTAAACATGTAAAAATGCAAATAACTGAAATGTTATGTGAAAGTTTGCCATACAAAATATAAAAATTACATAATCTAATATATAATCTTACAATACATATTTCTATCATATAAAATAGAAATTTTATTGTAATAAGGAATATATAATAATATTATAAGGTGCTATATAAGCACAATATTACTATAGTATATAATGATATGCACATAAAATTATAACTAATATACAAATCTATATTTATAATCTAGTATCTAATAAATAATCATATCAAATATAATTCAAATTGTCACATGGTGAAACATACTTTGAGACTCGTCTATGTTGTAGCTTGTGTCAAATCATTCCTTTTTATGGCGTCATAAATCAGCCTTTTTACAGCTGAGTATATTTCATTGTACAGATGTACTATAATTTATTTGCCCATTGATGGACATTTGGGTCATTTCCAATCTTTTGGCAATTAGGAATACAGTTTCTGTGAACATTCAAGTATGTGTATAAGTTTTCATTTCTCTAGAGTAAATACCTAGAAGACCAATTGCTGGATCATAGAAGTATATGGTTAACTTTACAAGAACTTGCCAAACTTTTGTCCAGAGTGGGTATACCATTTTACCTTCTCACCAACAACACATGAAAATTTCCATTGCTCTGCACCTTTGCCAACTTTTGGTACCATGTTTTAATTTTTTATTTTTTTAGCTGTTCTAAATAGGCACATTAGTGGTATCTCACCATCGTCTTAATTTACATTTTCCTGATGATGACTAATGATGTTGGGTATCTATTAATCAGCTTATTTTCCATTTGTATCTCATACAACCATACGGATGAATCTCAAAAACATGACATTAAATGAAAAGAAGTTGGACTCAAAAGGGGCTATATATACATATTTCCACATTTAAATGACATTGTGGAAAATGCAAAACTATAGAGGTAGAAAACAGAGATCAGTGAATGTGAGAGGCTGGGAGTGGGGAGAGGGACTGACTAAAAGGGAACAGAAGAAATTTAGGGGAGTTGAAGGAACTATTCTGTTTTGATTAGGGTGTTGATTACACAACTGTATATATTTGTCAAAACTCTCAGGACTGTATGCTAAAAAGGGTGAATATTACTGTATATAAATTAGAGTTCATAAATCTGACTTCAAAAATATCTCAGTACTATAACATTATAATAAATATAAATGAGAAATAATTGAAAGTAATTGACAGTAAAATAAGGTGTTTCCCTCTGTGAGGTTTGAGGACAGCCATGCAGAGGTTGGTCAGATACTTGTGTCAACTTGTAACTAGTAATATTATTAACAACAGGACACTCTCTGGTCTCCACCGGCCCTACTCCCTTCACGGGGCCCATATTAAGTCACTTCATCATCCATAACTCCATTCTACAAGTCAAGCAATTGAGGCTGGGGGGACGTTGGTGCATTGGCCCAGAGTCCCTCAGCAGATCAGTGTTGGCACCAGGATTTGAATCCACATCCACAGCTTTCACTATTCTGCTTGCATCACTCTTGGTGTAGTAAATGGGAAGAGGCTCAGCGTGTGATCTCTTGGGGCCCCCAGATCCTCCCCAGCCCACTCCACGTCAATAATTCCCTGGAGGGGTCTATGAGGCTAGGACCTCATCCTCATTCCTCTTCCATCCCCCAGGGTCCTATCCATGCAAACAGTGGAGAAGCAATAACAGGGAACTTGCAGTAACCACACTGAGGGGCCTCAGGAAGCAGTGGGCAATGGAGACTCAGCAGACATTGTGGTGGTGGGGGCCAATAGGGAAACAGCAGACACTACAAGGATTTAATGGAGGGGTCACAGATATGGTGTTAGTGGGTAATGGGCATCAACAGACATTGTGCTGGTTGTTAATGGGGGCCCTACAGAGAGGAGGGCAGTGAAGGCTCCAAAATGTAGATGGCTCATGTGGAGTTTATGGTGCAGTATCAGTCATTGCCCTTCCTTGGGGGAGGGAAGCAGGCTAACGGCACACACCAGTGTTCAGAGAAGTATTGGGAGCATTACCACAGGCTGTGTTGGGGATGGTTACAGACACTACAAGGTGGATAATGGAAGATAACTGGTCACCATTACTGTGATGGACAAGTAAGAGGGGGACACAAGCCATCCTGCTAGACATATAATGAAAGCATCAGGAGATAATATTTATAGTTGGGTTGGGTGGGGAATATGTACTATGGTTCCCTACTCTGAGGATTGTAATAAGTGGTCATCAATCACTACTTATGTGAAAGTGGGAATAAACAGGGAGCATGGAGGCTACCAGACTTTGTCATAAGTGGGGCGAAGTAACACACATTATGCTGGGGGTAATTGTGGGAGAGGTAATGAGAAGCTTTCCAGACACTACTTCCTGGAATTAATGAAGGGTGACAAACACAGTACTAGAGTAAGGTAAGAGGGTAATGGAGGAGGTCCAGCCATTGTGTTGGGGTGGGGTAAGAAGAGGGTAATGGAAAGACCTCCAGACACCCTCCTGGGGGTGGCAAACGTTGTTCTATTTTGGGGGATAACAGTAGGTCACAAGACATTGAGTGAAGCCTCAGATGCAGTGCTGGATGAGGTAAAAGGAGGTAATAGCGGGTCACCAGACATTGTTCTAAGATAGGGAAGGGCATATGGTGGATCATCAGATACTCTGAAGGGGTGAGATGAAGGGAAGCTAATGATGGATTAGACATTGATCTAAGGTGGGGTAATGGGATGTGTCACTAAGCACCGCCCAATTTGGGAGTTAAAAGTGGAATCCCCAGCCCTGTCCTCTTGACCAGCTTCTGCCCCCATCCTCAACTCTCAGGCTGCCACTCACAAAGGTGAGAACATCTCTGCACAACCCAACTATTTCCTACTCACTGTTGCCAAAGGACTGACCTGAAGGAACCATTCTGCCGGTTCCAGTTTAGCCAACCAGCAGCTGGGCATTCAATCAGACCCTCTGCCCACATTTGAGAGGTCGCTGCTGCCCCAGTCTTGGGTCAGACACCTAACTTCCAAGGAAGGTCCACCCGTCTGCTCTTGGCCCCTCCGTACTATTAGCGCTGGGCATACCTGTCAGGGCATGATAAGCAGGTCTGTAGGTCAGGTTCTGGGATCAGCTAGGCCCTGTCAAGGTGTAACTGGGCTGGTGCATGCTGGGGCAGAGTGAACGGGCTCTTTCGTAATCACTTTGAAGCTGATGGTAGTATTCCAGAATCATGGCAGGGAATCCTGGAACACCAAGCACCTATGAGGGATTTCCTGTGCCTCAGTTCTTTCTTCTGTAAAAGGCCGGCATGAGGCCAAAAGGTTTACAGTGATGTTACAGCTTTAGGGCTAGGAAGGAGGCACAGCTCAGGCAAAGACTGGAGGTGAAAAAGTCTGATGTGTTTTAGGTAAGTTGGTTCTCCCCATCGGAGCATCTAATGCTGCAACACAGAAAGGATCTAAGGGAAGTCACGGAATGAGCAGGGCCAACACACCACACTATGCATTTATGGAATGCCTGTTCTATGTCAGGCATGGGTCTAGGCTCACAATGGTGAACAAAACAGGGACAAACATTCTAGTGTGGGAGCCATAGACAAATAAGTGAAATATACAGGGCATCATGGTAGTAAGTGTTATGGAAAAGGATAAAGGAGGAAGGGTGGGGGGTTGGAACTTTAAACCAGGCAGGCAGGGAAGGGCAAAGGTGGCCTCTGTGAAGAGGTACCTCTGGAAGACGGACATGCAGTGAACCACACAGATATAATAAGGAACTGTGCTCTTTGAAGAGGGCACTGCAGATGCAAAGTCCCTGAGGCAGGACCTAAAGTGATGCTTTTTGAGACACATAGGGGAGAAGGTGCCCGTGGAGTACATGGCATGAAGATGAACACAGAAGACAGTGAAGATATGTTGGGGTTTGTTTTAATGAGATATTGATTTGTTGTTATTATGCAGGTCAGGTCATTAAGTAAGGCAAAGGAGGCAGAAGAACTGTGACAGCAAAAGGGAAACTAGGGTGAAGAGTTGACCAAGGTGAACTGAAAATTCTTACCTCAGAAGCTTTCCTGAGGGTAGCAGGAGTTCACAAGACACTACACTGGGGGCTAAATGAGGGTCAGCAAATACTGTCTGGGAGATAACAGCAGTCAGCAAACAGGGTCGTGAGCACTAATGGGCAGCCATATGCAATTATGGGGGTCAGAAAGCAATGTGCTGGAGACTGATAAAGGTCAGAGGCACTCTACTGGTGGCTAATAGAAGGGGGATTACAAGTCATGGTGCTAGAGGATAACAGGGAGTCAACATATACTCTGAGATTTGTGTCTGCACACATAAAGAGCTGTTTTTTATTGTGGTATCTCTTTCTTGATGGAAATAATTGATGGGGGATTGGATATGCACAACCATGTTAGAGTCAAGAAAAAAAAAAAAGAAAAAATACCCCAACTTCTGTTAGACAATGTTTTCTGCAACAAATATCTCACAGAACTTAGGGTTTGTCACTATCGTATATATTATGTTGTCCTACCATTCAACTTGTTGGACTTTTCCTATCCCACAGTAAACAGGATTATCATTAACATGATGTAACATAATCTGTCCTATGCCGAATTTGGTAACAGTGTTCCATTGTATTTTTCATGAGAAGGCTTCTTCGAACATATCAAACAGACGAAGTTCCTTCTCAGTATGAATGCCCCAAGGTTTAATAAGGCCGGTGACAATGTGAGAAGAGCATCCCTCATTCAGGGCCCTCTCAGTGGTCCTCTTCTGTAATATGCAACATTCTGATGGGCATTTCTACTTACAATAACATATATATTATTTTGCTGCATGAATTCAATAATGTACAATCAGACCTGCTCTCACTGAGGTTTTTTTCTACTGTTTCTCTCAAGTGTGAATACTCTGGTGCACATTGAGCACTGACTTCTGAACAAAGCCTTTCCCACAGACCACACACTTGTAGGGTTTGTCTCCAGTGTGTGTTGTCTGGTGTTTATTCAAATTTGACCTGTCAGTGAAGGCCTTCCCACACTCAGCACACACATAAGGCTTCTCTCCTGTGTGAATTCGTTGATGCACTTGGAGCTGTGATTTCTTAGTAAAAGATTTGCCACAGTCACTGCATTCATAAGGCTTCTCTCCAGTATGAATTCTATGATGTATAATCAACTCTGACTTCTGTCTGAAGGTCTTCCCACATTCAGAACAGATGTAGGGCTTTTCTCCAGTGTGAGTTTTTTGGTGTTTACTGAGATTTGACCTGCCACTAAAGGCTTTCCCACACACAGCACACACATACGGTTTTTCTCCTGTGTGAATTGGTTGATGCACCAGGAGCTGAGATTTGGAGGTGAAGGATTTCCCACAATCACTGCATTCATAAGGTTTTTCTCCAGTATGAATTCTCTGATGAGTAATGAAGTTTGACTTCCGGATGAAGGCTCTTCCACACTCAGTGCAAACATAGGGTTTCTCTCCTGTATGAATTTTCTGATGCACAATGAGTATTGATTTCTGGTTGAAAGCTTTCCCACATTCATGGCATTCATACTGTCTCTCTCCAGTGTGAATTTTCTGGTGTATATTGAGATGTGACTTCTGGGTGAAGGCTTTTCCACAGGTACTGCATTCATAAGGTTTCTCTCCAGTATGAATTCTCTGATGTGTAATCAAGTCTGACCTTTGTGTGAAGGCCTTGCCACATTTAGGACATATATAGGATTTTTCTCCTGTATGAGTTTTCTGATGTGTAATGAGATTTGACCTGTTGGTGAATGCTTTCCCACATTTAGTGCACATATAGGGTTTCTCTCCTGTATGAATTCGTTTATGCACGTGCAGTTGTGACTTGGAAGTAAAGGATTTCCCACAGTGACTACATTTATAAGGTTTCTCTCCCGTATGAATTATTTGATGTGCAATCAAGTGTGCCTTTTGGATGAAGGCTAGCCCACATTTCAGGCATACATATGATTTTTCTCCTGTATGAATTCTCTGATGCACTGTGAGTGCTGACTTCTGAGTGAAGGCTTTTCCACAATTGCTGCATTCATAAGGTTTTTCTCCAGTGTGAATTCTCTGATGTATAATCAACTCTGACCTATAGGTAAAGGCCTTACCACATTCAGTACAAACAGAAGATTTCTCTCTAATTTGAACTTTCTTATGTGTAATGAGGTTGGAGCTACCACTGAAGACTTTCCCATATTCGGTGCATATAAAGGGTTTCATTCTTGTGTGAACTCGTTGATGCACCTGGAGTTGTGACTTGGAAATGAAGGACTTCCCACAGTTATTGCATTCATATGGTTTTTCTCCAGTATGAATTCTTCGATGTGCAATCAAGTGTGTCTTCTGGATGAAGGCCTGGCCACATTCAATACATATATAGGATCTCTCACCTGTATGAATTTTCTGATGCATCCTGAGTGTGGACTTTTGTGTGAATGCTTTGCCACAATCAGTGCATTCATGATGTCTCTCTCCCGTATGAATTTTCTGATGTATACTGAGATCTGAGTTATAAGAGAAGCCTTTCCCACATTCACTGCATTCATAGAGTTTTTCTCCAGTATGAATTCTCTGATGCCTGAAAAGAGAAGATACTTGGAAAAAAGCTTTTCCACATTCACTGCACTTATAGGGCTTCTCTCTAGTGTGGGTTCTCTGATGTGTAATGAATTCTGGCTTCTGTACAAAAGCCTTCCCACAGTCAATACATACATAGAGTTTTTCTCCTGTATGAACTTTCAGGTGTACCTTGAGTTGTGGCTTCTGGGTGAAGATCTTTCCAAATTCAGCACATTCGTAAGATTTCTCCCCAGTATGAATTTTCTGATGTTGAGAGGGTGCGTGTTTATAGCTGAGGATTTTTCCATATTGATTATGGTCCCATAATTTCTCTCCTGCTGGAGTACACTCATGGTCAGTACAGGAAGAAATTTTACCATATTCGGTAATCTTATTAATGTTCTTTGATGCGCTGTTTCTATTATGACTGTGTAAATCTAAATTATGCTTCAAAGCATTCCCAAATGAGTCACACTGATGGGGTCGTCTTAGGGAAGAAATGTTTCGGTTTACATGAATTATTTTCCTAATGTTCTTATATTCATAATCTCTCTCTGTAGTCAATATTTTCTCGATGAAAGCAACATCTCTTAAAGATTTGTTTTCTCTTGGCTGACAGCTCTTTACCTCGTCACCAATCTGCCACAATTCTTCTAGAATGAAATACAACAAAACATCACTTGTATAGCATCACTTTCCCTCTCAGTGTAGAAAGAAGCTTTTTCAGAAATTATCTGCTGTGAGGTTTGAAACCCAAATGCTCCTTCTCAAAGGAAAATGAGGAGATAATTTTAGCTCAAAGAGCAGCTAGCAGAGACTAGAGGGGAGGGTCATATGGCCCATTCAGGTTGAACCCAGAGAAAAGGATGAGGGTGAATCACTGGCTCCTCCAGGAGGCTTGGTGATAGTGGTGACAGGAAACATTCTGGAACACAATTTAGCAGTCAGAGGAAATAAACTTTATGAACACATTGCACCATGGGCAGAAGTGGAAAAAGTAAGACAAAGAACAAGATACATAGCACAATAACATTTATATAACCCAATAATACATATCTCAAGTCACTTTAAATTTTAAAAGAACATGCATGAATTAAAAAATGTCTCCATCATATAAAACAATTGCCTACGGTGGTAAGTGAGATGGGCATGGAGAAAGAAAGAAAAACAAATACATTAAAAAAATAAAAATACATTAAAAAATAAAATAATACAGAATCTTAGACCGATGGTGATAGCGTCCCCTGAATGAGGCCCACAATCAAAGTCAACTTGTCATGTGAAGTACAGAAATAAAGTGATTACAACAATCAGCCAAGCAAGCAAAGAGACTCCAGTCAATGTGAAGTCACTCAAGTGAAAAGTCAGAAAGATACTCCTATACAGTGACCCCCTAAGTTATCACTTGGACGAAAGGCATGGGAATGAGGAAGTGAGAAATCTCATGTCAGCATCTATGGAGAAAATGAGAAGAGAGCCTAGTTGGATAAAGTTCTGAAGCGTCTCACAGTGAGAAAAAAAGAAATGAAAGAGGACTAGCAGCAGTGGAACTGTGTGACATATACGAACTTTGAAAGAAAGAAGATCCATGAATGCCTGAAGCCATAAAGAAAGAATCTCAGACAATGGGGGAAGTAGAGAGAAAAAGAATGTTACAGAAAAGGAGCACAACCAAGAAAAAAAATCTTTAATGAGGCAGATTGGTACATGATATACAGACTCCAAAAAGCCAAGGAAGAAGATAGTTAGAAATGACAAAAGGCATTTGTGTAGAAAGTATTTAGTTATTTGAGAGGCCAATCTCAAGGGTCTTCAAGCAGTACAAAAAATTCAGAACCTTCCAGAAGAGTCATCTTAATCACATTTCAAAGATGCCAGTCTTTCTCAAGACAGCTGAGATTTACTCCCCTGTCTCCCATCAGTCTGGGTCATACTCACTCACCTGGACAGCTCTGATGCTGGCTCTCACCCTGCAGTGCCCATGGCTCCTTCCCCTGCTCCAACATGAAAACCTCTGGTTCAGGAACTTGATACCCTGTTCAAGAGAAATGAGAAAAGGTCTGGGTCCAGCTAACTGTATTTCTGAGCCCAATCAATACAGCCTTGTTCAACAAGGCTTTGTTCTTCAGGAAAGTTACCATACATCTATGGGAATAGAGGACTATTCAGAGTGCTCAAAAGGGATAAAGAATCCTGGACAAATCAAGGACAGATCATCACATATTTCAGATGCCTCACAGCATTCAGCAACTGAGAATTTGGAAACACTCTCAGTGGGGCCTTCTCTCAGACATGCGGGTGACTGTGCTTACCTACTGAGAGCAGGTGGCTGTATGTCTCCAGCATCACATCTCGGTACAGGTTTCTTTGAGCAAGGTCTAGATGCTGCCACTCCTCTCTGCTGAAATCTACAGCCACGTCCTTGAAGGACACTGATCCCTGTAAGAGCAGATTCCTGTTCAATGTGAATGGTTACCTTTGGGGGATGGAAAAACTATAAGAATATGGAATGCAGATTTTGTTAATTTACCCCCTCTTTTTAACTCACTCCCATTTCCCTAATATGTTACTATGAAAGTTTTCAAACATACAGAAAATTTAAAAGAATTGCAGAGTGAAAACCTATATACCCAACACTTAGATTCTATCACTAACATTTTACTTGTTTTATCACACATTTTAGCCATACGTCTTTATCCATCTGTAGAGATATCTTACTTTTTTGAGCATTTCAAAGTAAACTGTAGGTGCCAGTACACTTCCTCCTAAATACTTCAGAATGCAAAACATTGACTAGAGTATAACATTTGTTTACCTTTTTTTAAAGTAAAATTTACAAAAAATGAAATGTACAAATCCTCAGGGTACCATTTTCAGTTTTGACAAATGCATATACCTGCATAATCCAGGAACTTTTAAAAAATGATATTTCATATAGGGTGCATACTAAATATCTACTTTTACATAATATCTTGTAGAAGAAAGAAATCCAATAAGGAACTTCTGCTATTTGTTCCATATTACAGTCAATTGTTTTTCAAAACTGAAGATTGAAATAGGCTCTTTTATAGTCTTCCAGCAACTAGATGAACCACATGCGATACAGTTTCTGAGCAATCTAGGACCAGCCATTATGCTAGTCCTGGGAACACAGAGATAATTATACATGTTTCTAATCGTCTAACAATTAAAAGACTTGGAAAATAAACAAGACCTAAGTTTTAAAAGAAGAGAAAAAGAAGACACAAATTCACTAAGGTGACAAAAAGTAAACCTCTATGTGCAACACACTCAGGGCCCAAAAAGGGCTGCATGGGGGAACAAGTTTATATTAGTTGAAGAATTTAATTTGGAGGATGAGAAGTGTAATACAGAATGGAGAGGAGAGGTAGTTCATTTCCCAGAAAATAAAAAAGTGAAACTGTGGAGAAAGGAAAATACATGATGAGTTTGAGGAACAGCAAACAGCTCTTTGCAAATGGAGAGAAGTCTGCATGACACGTCAGGAAGGTGGTTGTGGGAAAAACAGTCTGATCAAAGAACAAGTCTGGATTTTTTACTTTAAGAAAAGGTAATTAAGGTATCAGATTTATATTAAAATTTCTTTCTATAAGATCTGTATTGCAGGATAACCAAATAAATGATGAGGCAAAGTTCCTTATAGGATGACTCTAGCTAATAAATGAAGAACTTAGGATAGAATCAGAATATCATCATTTTGTAACTCCTAATGAAAAACAGATTTAGACAATGACCATTAATGGTTGCTCAACTGTTTCAGATGAAATGCTGAAGAGAAGTTTACAATGGATAGATCAGCTAATAACATCTGCATCCACTGATCGATGTTAATATCACAAAAAGAGAGATAACCAGATATTATGTGCCTCCGGACATGACATAGTAATTAATTTCATTATACCATCCATTAAGTATTCTTGCCAAAAAAAAAAAAAATCTAACCTAAATCTCATTAAGCCTCCAGATCAAACAAATCACTCATAGGTAACGTGAAGGACAGAGGAACATATTAACCAATATCAAGACCAAAATGTCAGCTAAATCCAGAAGGCAGAAAATGAACTGTTTCTTCAAAAACTAAATTCAAACAGAAAAAATATGGAGGAGAATTTTCTTTTCTTTCGGTTTTTTTTGGTGAGAAAGATTGTCCCTGAGCTAACATCTGTGTCAATCTTCCTTTATTTTGTATGTGGGACACTGCCACAGCATGGCTTGATGAGTGGTGTGTAGTTCCATGGCTGAGATGCAAACCTGTGAACCCCAGCCACCAAAGCAGAGTGCGTGAACTTAACCATTACACCATGGGGCCAGTCCCTGGAGGGGAATCTTGTCTTTATTAAAAGAGACTTCAGACTCATACTACCAAATGCAACTTGTGGACCTTGTTTGGCTCTCAATTAAAACAAACCAACAGTAAAAAGACATTTATGGCATGTTTAGAGAAATTAAAACAATAACTGGGTATTACATAATATCTAGAAATTGCCATTATTATGTTTTAGGTGTGATAATGGCTTACTGGTTATGTTAAACAAAAAGGAAGGAAAAAAGAATTCTTATCTCTTAGAGATACATATCAAAGTATTTACAGATAATACATGGTGTTCGGGATGTACTTGAAAATGACCCAGCATTTGGAGGAGAGACGGTAGTTTTAGATGACCTAAGAATGGCAGAACATTGATGACTAATAAAGCTGGGCGATAGGTACAAAAGACACAAGGTCTCCTTATACTATTCTCTTTACTTTTGTATACATTTACATTTTCTTCCATCATAAAATGTTTCTAAATAAACATAATCACCCATATAAAAAATCTAATCTGAAAATGGAGAACTGAAGGAATAGTGATTTCCATGTGGAGTCGTAAACATTTAAAAAAATGATTATAGGGACTTGAACACCCCAAACTCAGCAAGTTATAGAAATAACAGACAGGAAATTATCAACGTTACAGAAGAACAAACAGGATCTAATCAATATTTATACAATACTCCAACCAAGAGCAAGAGAATACACATTCTTTTCATGCACCCACAGAACAATGACCAAGATAGACTATATCCTAGTCCATAAAACAAACCTCAACAAATTTAAAAGAATTAAAATAATAACAAAGCATGTTCTCTGACCATAATGGAATCAAACTAAAAATCAACAACAGAAAGACAACAGAAAAATCTCCAAAGGAATCATATTAGAAAATAATAACAAAAGCTATCTGGAAAGTCACAAAATATTTGGAAATTAAACAACACAGTTCTAAATAACCCATATCAAAGAGGAATTCTCAAAAGAAATTTAGAAAATACAAATAACTGAAAGAAAGTGAAAAAAATAACATATCAAAATCTGTGGGATGCAGATAAAGCAATGCTGAAAGAGAAATTTATAGCACTGTTTAAATTAGAAAAAGGGAAAAAATCCAACCTAAAAAAATGGGCAGAGAATGTGAACATTTTTCCAAAGACGACACACAGATGGCCAACAGGTACATGAAAAGGTGCTCAACATCATTAATCATCAGAGAAATGCAAATTTAAAAAACCACAATGAAATATCATCTTACACTTGTTAGAATAGCTATTATCAAAAAATATATATATAAGAAATAACAAGTGTTGATGGGGATGTGGAGAAAAGGGCTGTTGTGCACTGCTGGTAAGAGTATAAACTGGTAACCACTATGGAAAACAGTATGGAGGTTCCTCAAAAAATTAAAAATAGAACTATCATACGATCCAGCAATTCCACTTCTAGGTATTTATCCAAAGGAAACAAAAACACTAACTCGAAAAGATACCTGTGTTCTCATGTTCACTGCAGCATTATTCACAACAGTCAAGACATGCAAGCAGCCCAAGTGTCTGTCAATGGATGAACGGATAAAGAAAATGTGGCATACTTGTACAATGGAATATTAACCAGCCATAAAAAAGAAGGAACTCTTGCCATTTGCAACAGCATAGATGAACCTTGAGGAAATTATGCTAATTGAAGTAAGTCAGAGAAGGACAAATATCATATGATCTCACTTATATGTGGCATCTAAAAAAAACCCCTTAAGTCATAGATACAGAGACCAGATTAGTGATTTCCAGTGGCAAGGGGTGGGTAGTAGGCAAAATCAGTGAAGGTGGTCAAAAGGTACATACTTCCAGTTATAAAATAAGTAAGTCGTGGGGATGGAACGCACAGCATTGTGACTATAGTTAACAATACTGTATTGTATATTTGAAAGTTAATAAGAAAGTAAATCTTAAAAGTTTTCATCATAAGAAAAAAGAATTGTAACTGTTGTGATGGATGTTAATTAAACTTATTGTGGTGATCATTTCACAATATATACAAATACTGAATCATGTTATATACCTAAAACTAACAGAATGTTATATGTCAATAATATATAAATTAAAAAAAAGGAAAGGGGAATGTTCTCAAATCAATAATCTAAATTCCTACCTCACGAAACTGGAAAAAGAAGAAAATAAACTCAAAGCAAGCAGAGGAAAGAATATTCTCAAAACAGGTATTTTAGAATGGGCAAGACTGGAAGATCAGTCACATGGCCCCAGGCACAGTCCTACGAGAGGATACGCATTTCTCACTGGTGTAGAGCAAGGCTGCAGTCAGGCTAGAGAAGGGCTTGATATTCATTATTAAGGAAGGTAAATTGATAGCGAGTGTGAAGGTGAGAAAAAGGGACTCAAATAATTCTCAGCCACCACTTTTGCATAACTGTAGATTCTGGTGCCACAGACCCAGAACTAAGAACTAGAGGAGGAGGCTGGGGGAAGAAGACAAGAAATAATGATTTAAATTTTGTACATATTGAGATTTAGGTGGTAAGACATATAGGAGGATGTTCATTGGGCAGCTGGAGAGAGAGCCACTAGAGATGAAGATTCAGGAGTTGTCCGTACACAGCAGGTCACTGAATTCAGGGGAGGGAATGAGCATGCGGGCAGGACAAGAATACTCAAAGTATTACAGATATGTGTGGTTTCTAATGTCTTAAATTAAGATGCTTGAAAACTATTTTTTTTCTTCTTCTTCTTCTCCCCAAAGACCCCAGTACATAGTTGTATATTCTAATCATAGGTCCTTCTGGTTCTTTGAAAATGTTCCCTATATACTTGAAAAGAATTTATGTGCCTTAATTTTTCTCTTTCATATACTTGTATATTCACACCCTACACACACCAAACCCACAGCCCCCAAACCCAATGTCATCAAGAATTTAACAGGGGATCAAGATGTCATATTTGTATCTTTGACTCCTTAGCAAATGAGCTTCTTATAAACAGTTTGTCCAGGAAAAAATCTCACTCACAGATAATAATAAACATCTGCTGATGTACAAAGATACTATAAGCAAAAAGAATGAAAGAAAAAAAGAGAGGAGATTAAAAGGAACATGCTAGAAATAAATTGCCACACGTTAGAAGAAAACACATTCACCACGAATTCAAGGAATTCACTCAAATAATTAACTACTTAAAATAAATAGGGATATTAAGAGTCTAAGGAAGAAATATGGGAAAACAGGCTAAAGAAATGGTTATTTAAATTTTTGAAAAGTAAATGGGCAGAAATCAGTAAAGGAGTGAAAAAGAAAGAAAAAGCAACACAGAAATCAAGGTCTCTCTGAAAGCAATGAAAACATTCTGTGAAAACACAAAAAATGGCAAAGAGTAGACTGAGACAAGTGAGCTACATGAAATGGAAATACGGATTTTTAAAGGAAAATAGAAAAAAGAAAAATAGTTGAATAAAGACATCCAACAAACAAAAGAATCCGTGAAGTGGCAGTACAGAACTCTCACCATTATTCACAGTACAAATTTAACAGATGTTGTCTAAAACAAGAAATTAGAAGATTTGGTTCAACAAGCTAATGTTATACAGGTGTCTCTAAAAGAACCAAACAAAAAAGAATCCAAACCTTTGAAACTGCCAGAAGGGACACAGAAACAAAGCAAAAATACAGAGTATAGAGTGAAAGGTACAAAAGAAGCATCCACATCAGAAGTGTAACACAAAACGCATCTTTCCACTGCTGTACAGAAGAAATGCTCACGGACTCTCACGGACGACAGTTAGAGGATGAGCAAAGGCCCATTTGGAAACGGCAACAGAAAGGAAACAGCGGCCTCCATCCTGAGTGGCCAGAGCTGAATTCTAGGGAAAAAGTATTAAACGTGACAAGGACACAATCCAAAATGAATTCCAGACGTGCTTTAATTTTTCTCTTTCATACACTTGCATATTCACACCCTACACACACACATCTTTTTCTAACTTCTTCAAATGAAAGTGTAACTCATACCTTAGGTCTTTTTTACTCCCAAACTTACAGCATTCCTTAAAAAGGCATTTAAATCTATATTTTTTCCCTACATCTACCGTTTAACTTCATCACACAACTATAAAATGTAGTACTTTATTTAAATTCAACTCAAAGAATTCTCTAAGAAGATCCTTTATGATTTTTCCTTTAAAAAATATTTATGTAGGAAAAAAATTTAAGGTTTTCAGATATAGGGGTTTCTTTTTGCTAGCCTTTTACTTTAAAAAAAAATTATTTTCTTAAAATTGTGGTAAAATATACACAACATAAAATTTACCATTTTAACCATTTTTAAATGTGCAGTTCAGTGGCATTAAGTCCATTCACAAGGTTACACAAAAGCCTTTTGTTTTCTAGTTCTAAGTTAATGTTCTTCGTCAGAGAACAGAATCAATATTATAGCAAAGGTTTATATATTTTTGTGCTTTGCTCAATAAGTTTTTGAGAACAGTTGATAAAATGGTTAGTGGTATATTTAATGATTTCTGTTCATTTTTACTTAATATTGTTCAAAGTATATCATTAGTTAAATAACGTTGACAATTTTTATAATTAATATGTCACTACTTTTGTAAGTTTGAACTCCCTCTTCACTCCTTTGGACGTTTTTCATCTTAAATTCCTTTTGATCTGTTCCTAAAATTGTAGCCCTAGCTTTCTTTTGGCTTTTGTTTCTCAGACAATTTTTCCATTCCTTTATTTTGAAATGAGGAGAAAAGCAGCCCCTGACAGCTGAGAGTTGGCCTGGCACTACCAGTTCGTCATCAGTGTTGCTAGGAGCTGGCCAGGCAGGATCAGTTATGTCATGGTGTTCTCTTGTTACACAAAAATACAGAACACCAGAGCTGGCCCACTGGTGTAGTGGTTAAGTTAGAGTGCTCCGATTCGGTAGCCTGGGGGTTCATGGGTTTGGATCCTGGGCACGGACCTACACACCACTATGGCGGCATCCCATATACAAAACAGAGGAAGACTGGCACAGATGTTAGCTCAGGGCCAACCTTCTTCACCAATAAAATAAATAAACAAAAGAATTGGAGAAAGTAACTTTAAAAAAAAAATACAGAACACCAACATCAAACAAGACCCCTCTCTGACGGTGATGATGAAGAACAAAACCAAGACTACTCTGTAATCATATCTGAGCACAGACAAAAATCAGAACATTGTTCAAACCACATAAGTGACCAAACATCCCCTTATTCTGGCTAATACAGTGACTGCTGCTGCTTTACCAATTACAGCTATCATCTCGCTCCATTTTTCCTATCTTCTAGAGAAATATTAAGATACCCAATCACAGAATTGCCCAACAGCAACAGAAGTGGAGGCTCACTGAGATTCAGCTAAGATTCATCGCCTTCAACTAAAAGCCTGAACTGAAATTCCACTACTTCTCATATATATGATAGAAAGAGAAAACATGACAAGAATGTCCACCACTGCATTGTTCATAACATGTATTGTATTTTACCAAATGTTAGAAAAGCCATGAGCAAAAATGTGTCTAGTATGCCACTTTTTGTGAAATGCAAAGAAAAAAGATTTATAATGGTTTTTATTTGCATAAATAAATTAAGCAAAGAAAACTAATAGGATTGGTCATTTGTATGGGGGCAACTTGGGCAAGCTGGGAACAGAGGTGGGCAAACCACAGTCCTGTCCTTCCCCTGAGTTTCTTTCACTATTGTGTTTCCCCTGAATTCTTTCCTACATTTCTTTAATTTCTGAACTAAGTGTATATATTACCTATTCAAAAAACTAAACTATTCCTAATAAACTACCACAATATCCTCAGAGAGATAAGAAATAGATTACATCTGTGAAAGAGCAGGATGCTAATGAAACAGAATATTTATAAAACAAACTAGAGTTTTTGAAAATTAAAACTTTGAATTACAACTCTGAATTAGAATATTGATGACAGTAATGAGAAACTCATAAAGAGCTGGAGGACAAAGTTAACAAACTTTTTATTTATAAAAAATGAGAGTAGCAGAGAAATACAAAATAGTAAAGGAAAAAAATGGAGAACCAACATCTAAAAAACAGCAACTTCAGAAAGAGAAGAGTGAAAATATTCGTGTTGGGAGGAAGCAGTTTAGGAAGAAGTAAAGAAACATTTTCAAAATTCTGCATAAAAGTGACTTCTAAACACGAATTTTATCCTCAGTCAAAAGATCAATACAGCATGAGGACAAACTAAAGAAGAGTTTTCCTTGCCATTCTACTTCTGACTGTCATACAGTTGGGCTCTTGATGTGGAGACGTTACCCACGTGTGGCTCAGTCTTGGCAGAAAGACAAGATGTTTCAGGGGCAGGAGGAGAGTCTGGCTGCTTCCTGTGGCTCATCTGCCTGTGCCCTGAGGCTCTGGCGACAGACCAGAGATATCTGTTTCTGGGATAAATTCTCCACCCCCTGGGACTCCTCCTCCTCACCTCACATGAGCTGCCACGTTCCTCAGGAGCCAGGACCAGGGATTTCTGGGGAGAGGTCCAATTAGCTGGCATGGTCATGTCGGGTCTCAACCTTTATTCTCTCAAGAGCCTAAAGCTTGATGGGCATCTGTGAACTCAAGCAGGGCTGCTGGGGTAGAGGTAGGCTGGAGTGCGGAGGAAGATCTGGCCCAGGGGCTCCCCAGAGACACCAAGGAACCTGGAAAGACAATGTACACGTGGTCAGTCACTTAATATTCATCACATAAACATTCCTTGGGAACACCACGGTGTAGTTCCCTGAGCAAGACACCACAGAGCATTGGTTCTCAAACTTGAGTGTGCATCTGAGGGTTTGTTAAACTAGTTAAAAATTCTCAGGCTCACTCTCACAATTTATCGTTCAGCAGATCTTGGGTAGGGCCTCTCTTAGTCTGTTTGGGCTGCTCTAACAGAGACCACAGACTAGGTGGCTTATAAACGAGAGAAATGTATTGCTCACGGTTCTGGAGGCTGGGAGGTCCAAGATGAAGGCGCCAGCATAATCACATCTTGCTGAGGGCCCTCTTCCTGGTTCACAGCCGAGACTTCTCGCCGTGTCTTCACACGGTGGAAGGGGCTCGGGAGCTCTGTGGGGTCTCTCGTAAGAGCACTAATCGCATTCCTGAGGGTTCCCCCCTCATGACCTAATCATCTCCCAAAGGCCCCACCTTCTAATACCATACTTTTGGGGGTCAGGATTTCAACATACGAATTTGGGGGTGGGGGGACACAAACATTCAGACCATAGCAGAGCCCAAGAATCTGCATTTCTAACCAGAGCCCAGGTGATGCGGATGCTATTCCAGGAATCATGTTTTGAGAACCAGTCCTGTGGAGAATACAAAGTTTAATAAAACCTGTGACAGGTACTAGTCAAGGTAAAATAGGAGAAAAACCATGAGATATAGACTAACATTCCTGAAGATCTGAATGGCAGCTCTGCCACCTTTCAGCCATGAGAACGTGAAGAAATTATTTCAGTTTCAGCTTCAAAAACAAAAATGGAAGTGCCTACCTGATAGAGTTATGAAAATTAAATGAGATGATGCTCGTAAAGTACTCAATACACCCCCGGCACACAAGAAGCCGGCAATAAATACTAGCAATTACCATGCACTATTAGATATTAAAACTTAACACAAAAACAATGTAATCAAAACAAGTAAAACAACAAACCAGACAATACTGATTAATACGTATGACAAAAGTGACATACAATTAAGTGTGAACAAGACATTCATTGTGTCAATGCCGCTGACATAATTGGCCATCCGCCTGGAACAAAACACACCAGATCCCCGTCACACACTGTACGTTAGACCGAATTCCAGCAGGACCAGATATTTTAAGTATATGTACTTTAAAAAACACAAAGAATATTAAAATAAATTTTAGGAGTATATGTTTGTACAATGTTGTAGTGGGGTAGGAGGGACTTTATTCACCTGAGAGAAAACCCAGAAATTATAAGAGAACAAACAAATATTTCTGATTATATGATGTTTCTTAATTACATGTTAAAATACACCTTATAAATCAAAACGAAGATACAGACAAAAACTTTTCAATATGTGATGATAGGCTATCCCTAATATTTAAAAGAAAAAAACATCTAGCAATCAAAAAAAAAGAAAAAGCTCAGAAAAAAAACAGACAAAGGATATAAAAATTCACAGGAAAGGACATTTAAATGGCAATTAACCAGAACAATGCCAACTTTACTAACAGGAAAATGCATCAGAGCAATGAGATGTAATTCTCCCTCAATACTGCAGAAACTTAACAAAAAGAATCCCGTGCTGGAAAGCATTTGGGGAAATGAGCTCTTGTACAGATTGTGGGTGGGAGCTTGAATTGCTATAACATCTTTTGAGTTATTTAGTCATAGCTATTACTAAAAATACACATAGCTGTTCCTAATAATCGTTTCAAATACATAAAGCAGAAACAGACAGAAGGAAGGACAAGTGGACAAATCACCTGCCCAGTGTGAGCGTACCTTTCTCTGTAATTAATTAAGCAGACAAAAATCTGCTTAATATAATATGAAACAATACAATTAATAGAGAATACACACCGTTTTTATGTACTAGAGGTGACATTTATGAAAACTGACCATGAACTAGGCCATAAAAAAATTCTTAAACTCGAGCATTACCCACAGGCATTATGTGAAAGAGAATGTACTTCATGGGTCAAAGAAAAAATAACTGAAATTTTTAAAATACCCAAAACACTGAGATTTGAACAATAAAGAAAATGCTATGCACCAAAATTGTGAATGTTTAGAAAGTAAACTCATCACAGACCCCACAGATGCCCAGAGCTGACGCCACAGGCCCTGTCACTGACCTGACTCCCACCACTGAACCCACAAATCCCAGTGACTCACCCCAAAGATCCCCACTGCCCAGAGGCCCCTATCACCAACCTCCCAAAACTCATCAACGGACGCCACAGACCTCCCCCGTCACTGAACCTCGAAACCATCATCATGACTCCACGGACAACCCCTCCGTCACTGACCCCACAGAATCCCTAATCGCGACCAACCAAAATCACCTCAGGTACCTCTTGGGATTAAAACGCGGAGACGCTCCAGACACCAGCAGCAGCAAAAAAAAAAAAAAAAAAACCAAACCTGTCGAGGGCCACTTCCGCTTCCGGTCAGGCCTGTAGCACCGCCCCTTATGACTGTTGGTATTGCGTATGCTTCTGAATTACTTGGAAGCGGCATTCAGCCAAGAGGCAAGCGCAGACACGCTACTGGAAACATTGCGCAGATTCCGTACGGCGCTGTCGGGCTGAGAACATGGCCGCACCCAGCGGAGCACCTGAGCTCGGGCCGCCATCTTGAAAGCTTGTCCATTCCGTACAGCGGAGGACGAGACCTCCTGCGGGTTTTCACTGAGCGAGGGAGGAACTGTCAGTAAGAATGCAGGAGGCTGGCCCTTGTCTAGGAGGGAGGTATTGGAAATGGGGTCTGGCGCTCTATGTTCTATTTAGAAAACATAAATGGCCCGTCGGGATACAGCACAGGGCGGAGCGCAATACCTGCTGGGAGAAACCACTGGGGGATGAGGGAGAAGTCAGGATGGTACAGCCCGCTGATGGAGAAAACCACTCAGGCAAAGAGTGGAGAGGTCAGCATGGGAGTTCGCTCCTGAGCGAAACCCCCTGGCAAGACAGAGACATGTCAGAATGAGCAATCCGCTGCAGGAGGGGTGTACAACCTTTAATAGGAGAAAGCGCCTGGAGAAATAGGTGGAAGTTGGGATAGTCCAGTCCTCTGCTCAGAGATACCACCGAGGAAGGTGTCACCTTTGGAAGGGGTGGGGTGGAGGGCGCGGGGATGCAGACTTGAATCCCCATTAATCTCCATTAGTCTCCACCCTCGCTACATCAAGTAAAACAATAACAGGCAGCAATAATAAAAATAATAACGGTCTTTAATATGACCAACGTGTGACTAAAAGCTCCGAAAGAAAACGGCTTTTTAAAATGTATTTGTAAATTAAAATCTAAGTAATAACAATGTGTTTACTATGTGAATGAAGCAAGTCCAGTCTCTGACTCTTCCCTTAGCTGCTCCTGCATGGAAATTCTGGAGCAGCTGACACTCCCCTCCCTGCCTTTTTGGGTGACTGCGAGTGGGAGTTACAAAGCCACAATCACTTTACCTGGTGAACTCCTAAACGTTCTCAAAACCCAGCTTAAATATTGCCTCTTCCCGGAAGTCCTACCTGACAATGTCGGGAGGTTCTATGTCCTGCCGAAAGTGTAGCTTCAGTCCCAGCAGGTGGGGAAGGTGTTTTGAGGGAACTGGACCTGGGCTCTGATGTGGGCATGTCGGGTCCCTTCAGGCCAGTTGTGTCCCCTCTGGGATTCAGCTTAATCATAGGACCGCTTAGAGGGTTGGACTCTGCTCATGCAGGTTCTTTTTCTTCTCCCAAAGCCTGGTCTAAGGAAAAATCTGCAAAAGTCCATTAGTGAATACACATTTTTATGAGAGGCCTAAGAATTACTGTTAATTTTGTTAGTAATGTGGTTATGTTAAAAAGGACATTTCTCTTTTAGAGATTCATGTGGAAGTATTTATGGGTGAACTATTATCTTTAAAAACTCCGCTGAGGAGAGGTAGATGGATGAAACAAGAATACAGAATGTTGACAAATATTGAAGCAGGGTGTTGGGTACGTGGAGTTTGTTATTGTGTTCTCTCTTCTTTAGTATTTGTATGAAAATTTCACAATAAAAATTTAACTCAAAAAGAAAAGAATTTTAAAAACATTTGCAAAGAAATATCAAGAAGAAAGCAGGTGTGTTGATAGAATTAGGTACTACAGATTTCAAAGCATAGAATATTAACAGAGATATTCCATATTTTAAAAGGATGCGGATGACACTTCTAACATTTGTCTTACAAAATAGTTCTGAAATACGTACAGGAAAAACTTATAGAACAGGGACATTTTGAGGAACCCACAATCACAGTAACAAACTAATACATCTCTCAGAAACAGATCAAATAGAAGAAAGGTAGGTATAAGGCTATATTGGGATAACAGGAATCATTTGCTTGATTTATCATATAGAGGATCTACATTTTCTTTTTATTTTTTACCAGAGAATGAGCTTTTACAAGCATACATAGAACACTCATAAAAATTCCCGACAAAGTAGGCCATAAAATTAATTATAAAGCTCCCAAACTGATATCATATAAGCTATATTCTCAAACTACATCAAAATGAAAATAGAAACCAACAACAGGGAAACCATAAAATGTTCCAAATGCCTGGACATTAAAATATACACACCTGAATAACGCTTGGGTTAAGGACAACATAACAGGGGATATTGCAAACTCTTTAGAATGAAGAGGAACATGATAGTACCTCATATCAAAAATCTAAGAGATGGGCCAAAATGATACCAAGAAGAAAACCTATAACCCAAAATGCATTCATTAAGAAAGTAGAAGGAGTGAAAACAAATTAACTAAGCTTTAATTTAATCGCATTCTACTAAAGTTCAATTAAACACTCCCAAAGAAATTGGAAAGGAGGAATTAATGTGACAAACAGGTATTAATAAAATAAGTAGGAAAAAAAAAAACCCAGTAGAGGTAATTAATAGGTATAAGTAATTAATAAAACCATGATGAGCTGGTTCTCTGTAAATAGTGAAATAGACAATCATTTTTTAATAAAGATGAAGAAAATAGAGATACAAGAAAACAACTTGGAACGAAAAGGGGGCATGAATACAGAGAAGAAAAATTAAAACAAGAGAATTCTATGGATATTTTGAGTAATCAAAAGCCTAATGAAATAGAAAGTTTTCTAGGAAAATGTAGAAGAAGTTGCCACATGAAGGAGAGAAAACTGGATTGGCCAAACACCATAAAAGAAACTGAATTGGCACCATATGCAAAAAACAACCCTACGTGAATTAGTGATTTAAATGTCAAAAACATAACTTTAAATATTTTAGTAAAAAATATCAAATATTTTTAGATCTTTTGGTAATGGAGGGAAAGATTTCTTTTTAATTTTAAACAGTCTCTTTATTTTATTTTATTTTTTTTAAAGATTAGCACCTGAGCTAACATCTGTTGCCAGTCTTCTTTTTTTTTGCTTCTTCTCCCCAAAGCCCCCGAGTACGTAGTTGTATATTCTAGCTGTGAGTGCCTCTGGTTGTGCTATGTGGGACGCTGCCTCAGCATGGCTTGATGAGCAGTGCCATGTCCGTCCCAGGATCTGAACTAGTGAAACCCCGGGCCACCGAAGTGGAGTGTGTGAACTTAACCACTTGGCCACAGGGCTGGCCCCGGGAAAGATTTCTTAAACAGAACACAAAGGAACCATTAAATATAAAAGATTGATCAATTTAAAAATTGAAAGATTTTAATCAAAAGACTGATAAAAACAAGAACTTTGTTCGTAAAGAAAATGAAAAGGTAAGTTATAAACTAGGACGGATAAACATAGAACACAAGTCTACTGGAGACTGGTAGCAGGAACAAATCCAAATCATTAAATAAAGCATAACAAACCCAATACATATATGGCGAGAGAGACATGAACAGGCATTTCATATAACACGAAACTCATGTAGGCAACAAACATATAAAAAGATTTTCAACATCATTAGTGATCAGGGAAATGTAAATGAAGATGATAATTTAATTTTATATTTCTTTGGCAAAATTTAAAAGTCTGACAATTCCAAGTGTTGATAGAACATGGGGCAAATTGTACTTTGCTGGTGGGATGTTAATTGGTTGCAATCACTTTGGAAAATAGTTCAACAGTATTTTATAAAGCTGGACAGTCTCATACCCTAAGATCCAGTGAGTACACTCCTAAATATATATCCTAAAGAAACTCTTGCATGTGTGTTCTAGGACACATGTACAGGATATTTTTGTCAGCCCATGGTTCACAAGGACAAAAACCTGAAAACCCAAATGCTCATCAACCAAGTCAAATGAATGAACACTAGTGACACACAGCAATAAGAATATCGTACTGGGTTGAATAGTGTCCTGCCAAAATTTATGTCCACCCAGAACCTCAGAATGTGACCTTATTTGGAAATAGGGTCTTTGCAGATGTAATTAGTTAATTTAAGATGAGGTCACACTGGATTACAGTGGGCCCTAAATCAAATAACTGGTGTTTTTATAAGATGAAAAGACACAGAGACAGATATCAATGGATATTTTGGTGTTTCCATGTTTTTCCTATTATAAATGATGCTCCTATAAATAAACTGTCTTAACTATGTCTCTTGGAATGCATGTACAATCTCTGGGATATATATAAAAAAGTGGAATTCCATACATCTTTCACATATTCAGCTTTTCTAGAAAATCCCAAAATATTTTTAAAACAGTACTGTATACATATATTTTCTCCATGAGTGAACAAGAATTCTCTCCAACACTGTAGTAGTTGATCATAAGACTTTTTAATTTTGGTCAACCTAGTGGATATAAAATGACATCTTACTATGGTTTTAATCTACCTTTTCCTTGTTACTAATGAGGTCAAATATCTTTTTATGTGTTTATTGACATTCAAGTTCCTTCTCCTGTAAATATTCATTCATACCTTTTGTCCATTTTTCTATTGAGTTATCTTTTTCATATTGATCAGGAATTCTTCATATATTTTTGATACTTATCTGTTAGTTGTATGGTTAGGAATATCTTCTCACAGCTTTTGGCTTTTCTTTCACTTTTTTAGTGGTATCCTTTCATGAACAGAAATTCTTAATTTTACTGTAGTTAAATTTATCAATCTTCTCTTTATCCTTTGCACGTTTTTGTCTTGTATAATAAATCCTTCCTGACAACCCACCAACTGGGAGAAAATACTTGCAAATCATATATCTGACAAGAGGTTCATCTCAAAAATATATAGAGAACTCACACAACTCAACAATAAGAAAACAAACACCCGATCAAAAAGTGGGCAGAGGACATGAACAGACATTTTTCCAAAGGAGATATACAGATGGCCAAAAGGCACATGAAAAGATGTTCAATAACATTAATCATCAGGGAAATAGAAATCAAAACTACACTAAGATATCACCTTAAACCTGTTAGAATGGCTATAAT